ACGTTGTGTACTGAAAGCTTTCCCACATTGCTTACATACATAGGGCTTCTCCCCTGTGTGAATTCTTTCATGTTGTTTACAATGTTGATGCCTACTGAAACCTTTCCCACATTGCTTACATACATAGGGTTTCTCCCCATTGTGATTTCTTTCATGGATCTGAATATCATTTGGTGTGCTCGAGGCTTTCAAATTTTTCTTATATATAAGGTGAGTTCTTTCACTAAGATCAGAGTAGGATTTCCCACATTGAGGATATTCATAGGGTTTCTCTCCAGTCTTTGTCCTTGCATGCTTCTGAAAGGACTGGAAATCACCACAGGTTCTTCCGTGTTCATTACATTTACACAGCTTCTCTTCTGATCCCAAGTACTCATATATCTTCAGTCCAGTGTGAGCTACAATGGGCACATTTAGTGACAAATGCCCAATCAAGGGCTTTCAGCAAGCAAAGCTTTCAGCCGATTTTAAACCAGCTTGTTTCATGTCCACATTAGCATCTGGAGTCCAAAGGAATATTTCTTCATATTGATTCTAACCTCTATTTTGATAGCATTTCTCTACCTCTTCATTTCTTAGATTTCTCCAGTAACTTTTGTACTCTGCTTCAACTTCCTGGATATCCCAGGTTCTTTCTATAGCAGCCATGTTCCTTAAAGTTTCCCTCATCACATCTCTGTAGAGCTTCTTTTGGGATGGATTTAGCAAAACTCACTCCACTATGGTGAAGTTCACAGCCACATCCTCAAAGGTCACTGCCTCCATTGTGTGGCTTCAGGTTTTCCCAGGGTCCTTCCTCCCATGCAGTATACAGCCAATAGAAGTCACAGACGTTGGCCTAGTTGAGGGGGGGAGCTCTCAGCAATGTAGTCTCCTGGAAATTTTAGAACAGTAATTCTGCTTGCCACTGTCCCACGATCTTTGTTGTCCTAGCCTCAGTGTTAGGCAGTGTACCTGTGTGCCTGAGCCTCCTTTAGAAGTGAGTCTTTCTTAGTATTCCCAGCTCTCTTCCTCATGTATTAGTGGTTAGTCTTCGGCAGGATTTTCTG